CCAATCCAGTTTGCTAGGCTTTCCCTGACGGCTTCTATCCAGCTACATTCAGAAAATAAGTGTTGTTGTGTCTCTATGTATATAGCTTCACATAGGCAGCAACTAGTGTCCTCTACTGGTATATGCATCCTCAACAAATTAATCTATCTTTTGTGAGTAGTTTGTCTTGAGTTGCCAATACAACGAATCTGTGTTTAGGTTGCAACACTGAACTCCAGATCAAGTTAGTTTTTGGAACTCTAGACATGCTAGTCTTCGTGTCTAGGTAACTCTTGCTCGCTGAATACTTACCTGTTGAATTCAGCCCATATGTCCCATTCAAATACCAATTGACCATCTTATTCTTGATTTCATTAAGTTTCTTCCAGTACCAACTGCAGTCCACTGGTGGTATATGTGTCCATATATCAGTATTAGTTTTTATATACAGCCCATCTATCCATTTAACCCATAGTAAATCCTTCTTAGTAACTAGTTGTCAGATTAGTTTCCCCACTGAGGCTACATTCTATGTTTTATTATCTTTGATATTTAAATCTCCAAATTTCTTTGGGACACACACCTTTTCCCAAGAGACCAAAGCAATCTTTTTTCTTTTCCTCAAACCACCCCAAAGATACTCTCTGCACTTTTTATCCACCTTTTTCAAGATGCTTTGTGAAAAAATAAAAACAACTCCCTATAAGTTGTAGATTGAAAACAAGACAACATTAATCTACTAGCTCCCCAACATAAGACAATTGCCTTGCATAAATCTTAGTGATTCTGCTAGTTATTTTATCTACTAGCTGATGAAATTTCACCCTGCTACACTTCTTGGAGGATAATGGAAGTCCCAAGTATCTAGTGGGAAAGGTACCTGCAGTAAAACTTGTCCCGCCTAACAGTTCCTCCTCTATAGTTTTATCCATTACTGTTAGAAAGATGCTTGATTTGTCAAATTTGCCACCAAACCAGTCACCTTGCTAAAATGGTTTAAAGCCTCCATTACTTTGATTACTTAAGCAATATTACCTTTGCAAAAGATCATTAAATCTTCAACAATTGTAAGGTGTGTAAGTTTAAGTGCTTTACATATAGGATGCAATTTGAAATCTGGAAACTCGCACGTTCTTCTTAATACTCTTGATAGGTAATCCATAACAAGGACAAACAATAAAGGAAAAATTAGATTTTCTTGCCTTAGACCCATCTTCCCAGCAAAGTACCCATATCCTATCCCATTTACCTTCACAGAAAATCTAGCGGATGTGATGTATGTCATAACCCTTTGAGTAAACTTGCTGAGAATCCATACTCTTCCATTGCCTCTTCAATAAAGTCCCAACTACCCATGTCATATGCCTTTCTCAGATCAATTTTTATCATACATCTATGAGAAGTCTTCCTATTGTAGTGCCTTAACAAATCATGTCAAATAAGTACATTGTGAACCAATGACCTCCCTGCAACAAATGATGCTTGGTTATCAACTACTAAATGAGTGATTGCCTTCTTTAATCTGGTACTGAGCATCTTGGAGATACATTTGTACAATACATTGTAACAAAATATGGGTCTATACTGGCTAGCATTTTCTGGAACTTTGACTTTTGGAATCATGGAAACCATGGTAACATTTACTTGATTCAATAGTTTCCCATTGTTAGAATATTATTACAATGCTTCAGTTATGTCTTTGCATATTATTTTCCATGCAACTTTATAAAATCCACTTCCATATCCATTCAGACAAGGACTCTTATTACTATATGTTCCAAATATAGCTTTCTTAACATCCCTCTGTATGAAAGGCTCCACTGCCTTAATCTGTTGCTCTATGCTCAATGCTGGACCATTCTTCAGTAATCCTGCATGAGCTTTTATTCTTGTTGTTTCTGTTCTCCCCAATAGTTCTTTATAGTACTCCACTAGTATTCCAGCTATAACGTTAGGTTCTATTTGCACCCTATTATTCTTATCTTGCAGCTGATTAATCTTGTTACATCTTCCTATGTTTTATAACTGAAAAAAAACATTTTGTATTGTCATCACCTAGTCTGATCCATGTTGCCTTACTTTTTTGTTGCATGAATAACCCAGCCAGATAAGATGATTGCATGTACTTCTGATACTTTACTTTTTCATTTTGTTGAAGCACTAGATCCAAAGGGTGTCTTGCAAAGATCTTTAAGCCTGAACTAGAGATTCCTTATCTTCACTTGCCTCTGTTAAAATGTTTATGAAATGTTGCATATTCAGCTCTTTCAGATTCCTTTTTAGTAACTTAAGCTTTTTTACTACCTGCAACATTTTACATCCATCTACTTGGACTTGCCACACCTCTTTTACTTTCTTAACAAATTGGGGATGCTTCGAGCAAACATTACAAAATTGAAATGGCTTCTTAACTCTATGAGGTGTACTCAATATGGCAATCTTAATTGGGCAGTGGTCGCTTATGCTTTCAGGCATAAATGTGGCTGCATATGCGGTCATGTTAATAAGCCACTCGTTGTTCACAAAAACTAGTCTATTTTTGAAAACACCCTTTGATCCCTTATTTGTCATTCTATGAATATCAACTACCATGATCTGGCAGTTCTAGCAATCCACATGATTCCATACAAGTGAAAGTCCAGTATATCTACTAAAGTTATAAGATTCCATCTAATTATGTCCTCTTGATTCAACACTGAGTTAAAATCACCTAGGACCAACCAAGGGATATTACACCATATACTCTGATTCTCCAAATAGCTCAACAACTCCCTCATTTCTGTCAATTGGTTAAAAACATATACAAATGTCAGCATAGATGTCACCTGCATAGGAGTATACCTCACTTTCCAAGTAATTGCTTGTATTGAACTAGTAACATGGGTTACATGATAATAACCTTGCCTCCAAGTAATCCAAATTTCACCATTGTAATGATGTTCTAGGTTTGTGACATATTGCCAACCTCCAAATAATTTGTTTGCTAGACCCTCAATCTTATTTGCTTTGACCTATGTTTTTAATAAACCAATTAGTCCTACTTCTTGTTCATTGAAGAGAAGTCTGACCTCCTTCTACTTATTAGGACAATTGAGGCTCCCTACATTCCAACTTAAGAGACTAACTATTTCATGAGAGAGGAATAATATGGCCTCTCTTATTTCCAATTGAGCTTGATTGAATTTGAGTATTGTTCATTTCCTTGTCAAGAACTTGGAAAGAATTCCGATTGATCATTTGCTGGTTTTGTTTAAACTGCTGCTTTCTGACATTCACTAGAGTAGTCCACCTTGTAGTCTGATCAACTAGTCTTCCACTTTGCATATTGTGATTCTTTACTATATTGGGTAGATGATTCATCAGGTATCATTCCTCCCTTAGATGTTTTAACATAGTGTATCTTTTCCTAATACCCTGCTTCTTCATTGTCCACCTTTTGTTTTTCATTATATTCTTCTGGTTTCTCCTTCCTCACCTGTTTTCCTTGTGTGGTGATCCAGGTTTTGTAACCTTCTTCTTCCTACATTTCTCTTCGGAGTACCTATACTTATTATGGCAGAAATTGCATAATGCAGGTTTTCAATCGTATTAGACCTTTTGTTCTAATAGTACTCCATTTTCATTCCTAAACACTACCACATCAGGAAGCTTAGCATCCATTTCTACCTCTATCAATAACCTAGCAAAATTGAGCCCCATTTTTTTCTCACTATTGAGATCCACAACAAGTGGTTTCCCGATTAAACTTCCTATTTTTCTTAGGCCCTTAGGATTCCAATATTTGAATTCGAGGTAGCTCGATCCATATAGGAATTGTAAGTAGCTCTTCTCTAGTAAATTCCATATCCAGATTCCATGCTTTAACTATAAATGGTTTATTATCGAAATGATAAATTCCCCCTTGCATCACTTTATTTCCCCCCTCCCCTGAATCAAATCGAACTAATACAATTCCGTTCAGCACATCAAAAGGAGCGTGTGCCCCAAGGACATAGCAAACTAATACCGACTTCCAATAACCTAGCTCTGAACTTATATCTTCAACGTTAACTGCACAAATAGAAGACTTACCACGAGTTTCAGGAGCGATGTATTCCAATTTGAATATGGCGTTCGAGATTTTCCCAATATCGAAGTTATCCCAAATTGACTTTTTTGGCATTGTCTCTTCTGTTGCCTTCACTTCCTCCGCCCAAGACAATTTGCGACTGCTCGTTGGCAATTAAACTATTTTAGCCCATTCCTCTTCCCTCAATTGTACCTCTAGTTGTGCGTTTTCCTTTTCATTGGGTGACTGATTCACTACCACATTAAGTTTGTTTGATTTTCTTTCCTTTCTTGATTTGTGGTTACGGCGATGACGACGCTTGCGCCATTAAAACTTTCTGAGATGGAATACGTGCCCTCTTCCCCATGGATGTGCACATTAAGCTAACATGCGCTGAGAGAAAAAACGCGTCTCTATTTTCTAATGTAGTATAAAACTATTACATATACAAATTCACATTGCCAATGCACTATTTGCAGTCTGATATGAAACTCCACATAAAATACTGCATAATTTATATGAAAATAAAATACACATATATTGATCAATATTTCGATAAGAGCGCCTGAAATAGCTATCGTAGCGTTAAAGTGAAAAGGCCTATGTTTTAACAAAATAAAAATTCATTCTTTTAATAAAAATCAGGCATGGTAAATGATACTCCATCCATTTCAATGTAGATGACTTAGTTTGACTTGCCACAAAGTTTAAGAAAAAAAAGAAGATTTTTGAAACATATGTTTCTAAAAGCTTTGTGGGTCTATGACATTGGCGTGGTTATAACAACTTATCAGTAACGGTAGAATGGGTAAAATGAATAATTTAAAGTTAAATTATTTCTAAATATAAAAATCTATTAACTTTTTGAAATGAACTAATGAGAAAAGTGTGTCATTTAAATTGAGACGAGGCGGTCATAACAAGAATTTTAATAATTTTAATTTAAATATCAAAATAGGTTTTAATTTTCACAGTCCTCGCGTAAGGAATAAGGATTTGAAAAACTCCCTTTTTGTTGTGCAAACCCGAAGAAGGAATATTTTATAGTTAGGACATTGGCTTCTGGAAAACTCCCAAGAGCAGCAGCAGCGCGAATTCTTCCGCTAATCGCAGCTTTTGTACTTCCAAAAAAAATGGCGTCGGGCGGCATGGGAGGAGTGGTGGAGTGGCACCTAAGGCCACAAGTACAAAAGAATCCAGTTGTGTTTTTTGACATAACCATCGGCAACATTCCTGCTGGTCGCATCAAGATGGAGCTCTTCGCCGATATCGCTCCCAGAACTGCTGAGAATTTCAGGTTTAAACCCCTCTCAAAGAAATAAATTTTAAGTATGTTAACGAGGAACAATATTTTGTAGGTCTCCACCCTCGTCTCATTAGAGGCTAACACATACAAGTGAACCCCCATTATTTACTTGCATTAAGTGTGTAAAATTTAATCAAATGGATTAATTAACGGAAGGCGTTAGGCAGTTAGTGATATAGATATATAAGCTTAAGCCCTTGCAGATTTGTTGTAATTTGTGCAGTTGCCCATGTCTAACTGGGGTGTTCAGGATTAACTTATTGACTACTAAGTCCATAACCCATTTCTTATGAACAGTCGACTTTTGCTTATTAAAAAAAACCCCTTATTGACAGCTCTATTCTAAAGTTGTTTTAATTGCTTCATTGCAGGCAACTGTGCACGGGAGAATTCAGGTCAGTTTGTCAAATTTTGTTTTGTGTACCATTCCCTTTTGGTTGTATATGATGCTAACTGTGGACTGCTTGTTTGTGAAAGGATTATTGGGGATTTTATTACTAATTCCTAGTGGCTTTTGCTTATGTTGTCGTACTCATCTTCAAATTTGGTTTTGCAGGAAAGCAGGAGTACCACAAGGTTTCAAGAATTGTCAGTTCCATAGGGTGATTAAGGATTTCATGATTCAAGGTGGTGATTTCCTAAAGGTTGCTTTCTCTAGCCTTAACCTTGTACTAGGTTCTTATATTGAGGTCTGTTTCGTAATGAAGATTCCCAGTTCCATAGGAATTGGGGTGATTAACGACTTTGAGGGGCATTTCTGTGTCTGTGAGACCCTAACTATGTGCTTCTTTGGTCGAAAAGTGTGTGTTAACACCTGTTCGACATATACTATAATTTCTCCGAGCATCTTTTTTTTTATAAGTAAATATAGAAAGCAACTGTGTAGCAGTGTAGAATCGATCCCAGGCATTTAGCATGAATGTAGTGCATCTTTTTTTTTTATATGAAAGCAACTGTGTAGCAGTGTAGAATCGATCCCAGGCATTTAGCATGAATGTAGTGCATCTTTTTTTTTATAAGTAAATATAGAAAGCAACTGTGTAGCAGTGTAGAATCGATCCCAGGCATTTAGCATGAATGTAGTGCATTCTACTAGTGCCCCCAGAGAGCTTTTGTTCTTGGTTTATATGCAATATTATTAATGTCTCCTATAATTATTGGCATGAGCATCCATTGCACCTTCTTCATTGTCCATCATCTGTCAGTGAAAATGAGCATAGAATTCTTTGTCAAAGGTAGTTCATTCTGAATGCAACCAGCTCTCCCTTAACTTTCTTGATTGCTTCATGTGAATCGTACAGGTATATTAACTTTTGCAAAGAAGATGGCAGGTATATTAACTTTTGCAAAGAAGATGGCAGTGCAGCTTAAATGATGATAACCTATAGATTACTGATAGAAATCTTCCACCAGTGTTGTAAAAGACCTGTATGAACTTTCTGCATGATATTCCCTCTATCACTTGTGAAAATTTGAGAACGCATCAAGTGCTGCAATTTTTTTGATAAATGAAATGTCACCATACTCCTCGTTCTTTCTTAAAATGATATACCTCCTGAGATGTCCCCTCTTCCTCCAGAAGGGTTGCTATACCCCAAATAGCATATTTTTCTTGTTAATCCTGCCAATTAAAATTTTAATATGCATTTAATGATGCACATAGGTAAGGACGTTGCGAAACGACTTTCTTTTTCCAGTTTGACTTTGTCGGTTTCATTTTCATTAAATTCTTTCTGAGGATACACTTTATTTAACATTTCTACGTGTTTGCTTTCTCATCTGTAAAAGAGAAAATATTTTCTTTGCTTGAGACATGAGATCATATGATGTAGAGTTAATCTCTCTAGATCATGATGCCCTTCAGCTTTCTGATAAAAAGAACTGATTCTTCCCTTTAACCCCCCCCCCCCCCCCCCAACCACCACCACCACCACAAAATAATTAAATAAATAGAGAACTGACCCCTTCATTCGTAATGCTGGGTATGCTGTTGAACTCTAAAGTTTCCAATGAAATCAAAGAGTATTTTCTGCTGATAATTTCTTCTGTTCACAATCAGTATTGGATATGTAGTCTGCTCCAAATTTTTGATTATTCAAAGGTCTAAATACCAGATGATATGTCAAAGTAAGAGTCCGATTTGAATCAGCCAACTATGAATTACATCTTCGACTGATATAAGTTCCAAATTATTCAGAGGTTATATATTAAGTTGTCAACTGGTTCTACTTCTGATCAACACGACATTGGTGTTATTCTAAATCTATATTAACAGTGTCTAATTCTTTTTTTTTCCTCAGGGAGATGGTAGTGGATGTGTTTCCATATATGGAAGCAAGTTTGAGGATGAAAACTTTATTGCCAAGCACACTGGTCCTGGCCTATTGTCAATGGTATTTGTTCATTTCATGCGCCTCTTTGTTGCTAATGGGAATTGCAATTTGTTCTTTTTCATATGACAATCTGTGTAATTATTTTCTACTGAATTGTTAGCTTATTCTTTCATTCATCTACTTCGCAAGTGATGAAGTGAATAACCTGATGTAATAGCTTTAATGTAAATGCCTAAAATTTATACTAACAGGGGCATATTATAGTAAGGAGAACCTGAGATATAAAAAGAAGCTATATGCCTCTAATCACTTCCAAAAACAATCACTACTCGGTGTCTCGGATTCCATGCCCCAGAGCGAGTTAGAAATAAATTTTACCTTGGGTATGTCAGGATTGTGTATTTGATGGCATAGACACTGATATGTAAATATTATGCTTGATTTCATTACCTTCGTATTAAAATTTTTGTATGCAATTATATCAATTTAAATTATGTGAAGAATGTTTAATCAACCGTGTGAAATTTGATTCTTCAAGCGCATCCATACCTTCTATTTTGACGTAAATTGTGAAATCTTTATTTTGCAGGCAAATAGTGGACCAAACACTAATGGATGTCAGGTAAATCATAAAGATCATTCCTGTTATCAAACTCACCCTTAATTAAGTTTTAAGCTGTAAAATAACACTGGGCACACAAATTAGGTCCCAATCTGGCATATATGGATGGGGAATTGGTCCAGTTTATGCTGATTGGTGAAAAAGGAAAAAAAGAAGAACACCATATAACCAAGACAGGACTTAGATTATGCTAGCATATTTGTGAAGTCAATGATCTTTAGGATTGCTTCATAAAGTGTAATCCTTTCATTATGATGTCCTCCTTAAGCAAAACTAAGTTGTTTCTGGGTAGAGAGCGAGAGACAGATCCATAGGAAGTAGAAAATTCTATCATAACAATTTGAAGGTCTTATGTTTGAAAGTTCATTAGATCTGATCCACCTTATCTGGGGAAAGGTGGATTAGATCTGAACAAAGCCCCTATGATTCTGATTCTATTGTTTGCTCCATGCAGTTCTTTGTCACATGTGCAAAGTGCGACTGGCTTGACAACAAGCATGTTGTTTTTGGGGTATGCTTTGCTTTTTGCGTTAGCTTGTTGCCTTTCTGTTTATCCACGTTTCATGTTAGAGGTCTCAGTTCAATTTGTTTTCTATCAACATGCTTGACTTGGTCCCATCCCATATGGTCTTCTAGAGAACTCGTTGATTGATTAACTGTCATCAGTGGTGGAGCCACATTTACCGAAGGGGTATTCAACTGAATCCCCTTTGCCAAAAGTTGTCCTGTGTATATATAAGTGAAAAATCTTTTTATGTGTATATATAAATTGTTGAGTCCCCTAGGCACAAGAGAGCCCTTTTTCTGAATCTCCTTGGTGAAATTTATGCCTCCGATACTCCTTGTCATGACTAGTCACTTAATACGTTCCTTATTTTAGTGGCAGATAGGGCGTACTAATGTTTCATGTGTCATCACTCATCAGATATCGTTATGGTTTACATAAATTACCTCCAATTCGCTCTAATATTTGATACAAGTATACTCACTCTGATAGATATATCCAGCTATGAGCTTTTCCATTGTGTCAACCATTTGGCAGTTGATTTTCATCTAAAAATAAGAAACTTCTCATTGAGTTCTTTTCTGTTCTTATGTCATAGATTTATTTGTTTTTCTGCTTTCTTTACAGCGTGTTCTTGGAGATGGTCTTTTAGTGGTCAGAAAGATTGAGAATGTGGCTGTTGGAGCTAACAACAAACCGAAGCTGGCATGCATGATTGCTGAATGTGGGGAGATGTAACTGGTGAAGAAGAAATATACACATAGTGATATGGTCTATTGACACTAAGGTTTCAGCACATGAAAGCACTCATCTGTACCTGGTTACATTTCCTTGGCTTAGTCTAGAGGGCTTGTTAAGTTGATTCATGAGCTCTTAATGAATTTTTTTGACAATAGACAGTGGACTCTCTCTCTCTCTCTCTCTCTCTCTCTCTCTCTGGGTGAACTATTGGAGTATAAAATTTAGTCTCAAAAGCTTTTTTGCTTGAGCTTGAGTTGGTCTATGCTCACATTTAGTGAATCATACTTTTGAGATTCCCACTTACCATGACGGGAGAATACATCATTACCGTTCTTTTTCTTTCAAGAAGAATTATTTACCTTAATAGATGTCTAGTCAGGCGCTTAAATTAATATTATAATCCTTGGATAATATGTTTATTTGTGTAAAGATCTCTTTTTTCAAATACACATGGGTCCTGTTCGAAGTGGAATTCAGAGTAGTTCATTATAGGGAGTCCAATTTTCCATTACGTTCAAGTGGCTATTTGTAATATTTAAAGCTACGACAACATTTTAATTAGTTATTTTGGGGTAGCTAGAATGAGAATTCATCAGCTTTAATTGAGAAAGTTAGTCGAAATATCTTTCATTTCCATTGTACTTTCTCGAACAAAGTCCATTTGAATTGTATAGTTTTTATCTCAAGCTTCACTTGTACTTTCTCGAGCGATTTTTTGGGTTCCTAAAAGTTGTAATACATTCATATCTGAGTTTCATGAGAAACTTTATCGAATGATCCTCCTTGCATCTTACTATTTGGATTCCATCCGTTCCACATCGAGATATCTCCGCAAGTTGCAAAGAAAATACTATATGCTTACATAGTTGTACTTTGCCTAACGGGAAAAGGGGAAAATATGTGGTAATAATAATAATAATATATGCTTATACAATTGAAAAGTCGAATTTATTTTCCTTCCAAAATGAGCAATTTTGGTTCAACAATTTCAGTGATGTGTTGTTTTAAGGGAATACCAAAAATATGCAAGTAGAATGCGACTTAAAGAATAAACCTTAAGGGAAAGAATGTAGAGGAATACCGTTTATGACATATATAGCAAGTCGTAGTTGAAATAAGTCATATTCGTAAGTTAGACTTATAATTGCATTTGACTAGGGGAAAAGGGAGAATAGAAGCTACTGGTTCTAATGAATTTATTGAATATGTATAATAACCTCATATTTGACTACAAATCGCAGTATTAAATGAACGGACTTCAAAACTGTAAATTGCAGTTGAGAATGCGATGTTAATGCGACGTATATATAAGGTTTATCAATGTGATCTATAAATCGCATTTATACAATGCGATATATAAATCGCATTCACAGAATGCAACTTATAAATCGCACATAACGATCTCAGTTCAATCTTCTCGTGAATCTGAATATGCGCCTTATAAATCGCAACATGGGAATGTGCAACTGCGACGTATAATTCTCTAATGCGACTTTCAACTCATAATTATAAATCGCGTTCAACAAATAAGAATACTCTCCCAATAGTCACGCCTCACTTTTATTCTACTAATAATAAGAAATCACCAGCACCCGGTTCTGTAGGGAGAGAATTCTCTTAGTTTAGCTCTAAGATAACTACATTAACCGATTACAGCAGCAAAGGAACTCCCATGGCTCCTGTGGCACCCAGATCCGGAGACGCCATTTTCGCCAATGTTGAACGAGTGGTAAACATTAAACACAATTACGATCGTGCTTTTTATTATTTTTGATCTCCATTCATTTCAGTATAAACTGCGTACTAATAATTACTATATTATTTTGTTTTTGGGTGTGAAAGAACGCAGAGCTTTTCACTCTAACATACGGAGCAATCGTGCGCCAACTGCTGACTGATCTAGAGGAGGTTGAGGAAGTCAACAAACAGCTTGATCAAATGTAATACTACTCTTACCCTTCTATTGATTTGATTTTAATCTAGGTTTCTTGGTAGTGCTATATGTGGAAGTGTCAAATGGATTAAGTAGAAGCCTCACTAAATTTGCAGGGGTTATAATATAGGAATTAGGCTGATTGACGAGTTTCTAGCAAAGACTAATATTTCAAGGTGTGTTGATTTCAAGGAGACTGCTGAAGTCATTGCCAAGGTCTCTCTCTCTCTCTCTCTCTCTCTCTCTCTCTCTCTCTCTCTCTCTCTCTCTCTCTCTCTCTCACACACACACACACACACACACACACACACTCTTTCATTCTAAAGAACTATATGCGTATATTTTGCCATTAAAAAAAAGACTAATGTGTATGTGAATTTTATGCTGTTTGAGCTGTGGTTTCCTTAAGTTTACTCCTCCTACGAATGTTTTTCTCAGAGTCATTATTTGAAGTGGCTTCACAAATCATTATCCTTGTTTTATTACGTTTCCCATACTAAATAGTGGATGGTGTATTTCTTTTTCACAAAAGTTTCCAGCTGCTGCTTAATTATCTGCCTCTTTGAGTGATAGTATCTGTGTAGCTTTGCTGTTGAATTTATGCTCTTGCAGAAATTCTTTTCGTCAATCATTTCTATTACGTTACACTAGGATAATTACCGTCACATCACATTTGAAGTTGAATATATCCACAGCTTTCTCTACTGTACACAGTGAAATTTAGGTGTAAGACAACAATGAACAGCTTTCATATTCAACAGCTTTAGTAACTTTACTAGTAGTTATTTTTAGTTTCCAAGAGCTGTTCTATCATTGTCGTAGCATTCAGCTTATAAATCAACAGAAAATGAGATAAACAAACAAACAAGAAAAGGAGAAAAAGAATCATTTGCGGCAACAGAGAGTAGAAGAGAAAAGCAGAAGACGAGCCTTGAAAGATGAATGAGTCAGCTTGAAGAAGAAATACAATAAGAAAGAAGCAAATAGAAGAAGAAGAAGAGGGGACAATAAAGAGAGCATTGAAGCATATCTGGAGACGAATCCTAGTATTTATATGACGAAAGGCCCTTCTTATCCTATTTCCCCCCTTTCTTCATCTTTTAAAGTCAACGTCAAAGAAGCGACTGCTTCTCGCTTTGATCGCTTTGCGCCTTATTGTTTGAGCACATGCTTCTCTGGAATTGCTTCACTTCACGCTTGTGAAGGGAGGACCTCTTGCTTCGCATCACTTAATTATTTTAAGATGGAATAATTGGCGTTTGCTAGAAAGTTAAGAGCCTAGGCTTCTAGTTGATATTGTGGGATGAGGAGATACATTGTACTTCCCCCTCAATATGCATGAGCTGAGAACCTTAGCTGACAAGTACTTGGCATAGAAATTTGGTAGTGTTTATATAGTACTTCAGTGACGTTATACTCTTTGGGCCTGTAGATGTCAGTGCTTAAAGTGCTTATTGACCGAACATGGTTTCTTGTTGCTCATGTAAACAGGTTGGTCTCAAAATGTTCCTAGGAGTAACTGCATCAGTGACAAATTGGGATGTTGAGGGAACAACGTGCAGTCTAATTTTGGAGGACAACCCCTTGGTAGACTTCGTTGAGCTCCCTGATACCTGTCAAGGTCTATATTATTGTAACATCTTAAGTGGAGTAGTCAGGGGAGCATTGGAGATGGTAAGCTTCGTCTCTCGATACAAATTGATTATCCATGCTACAGTAGATCCACATGAAATTTGATTTCATTCTCTTGCTTTGCTATGTGGTAAGAGTAAAGTGGTTATTTTCATAATCTGTCATGAACATAGCTCTCTTTTGGAAAAAGATGTATTAGTTGAGAAGTGGTTGCTCCTCATACAGGATATATATATATATATATATATATATAACAGAATCACTAGGCTTATACATGATTCTCTATAAATTGTAGCCAATCATCTATGCTTACTGGAATATTACAGGTGCTCCGAAAGTGTCAAAAAATTAAGAAACAAAGAGATTTTTCTTTAATTCATATATTTTTCAACTCCCTCAAATGGTCTTCTATTTCTTCCCCTCCAAATTGTCCCCTTAAGGGCTATAGGTGCTATTTCCCAAAGGAAGCTATCAATGGAGTCAACACATTGATATGAGAAAGAATAATCTTCTGTGCAAGCTTCCCGAGTTTATATGAATAACTGGGATCTGTTAAAATTTTGAGATTTCTGAATCTGCTTTAGACAAAAATTTGTTGCAATGACAATCTTTATCTCTGTTTTCCCTGCGGTCAGGTATCAATGAAAACAGAGGTCACGTGGCTGCGTGATATGCTTAGAGGGGATGATGCATTTGAGTTGCAGCTGAAGCTTCTGAAGCAAGTTCCTGAGGAGTACCCTTACAAGGATGACGAGTAACATGCTTTTTTGATGCTCGATATTATGCACATGCAATATAAGAAGATTCCATTCCGGGCATATGTTAAAAGTATTTTTTGTTGCTTTAGTGTCTCTTATAAATTTTCCATTGCGGTAAAACAACTTATTTAAGTAAAATCTCCAACTTTGGCTTGGTTCATCTAAGGTTCTTGCCATATTCCTCTTATGCCTGTTAACGGGTTAAATAGTTGTATTGTCATCTCCATTCATCTCCCAAACGTGTACATGGATGTGAATGTCTTAGTTTGAACGTTTATTGTGCCTTGTTGTACAATAGAATAGAGAGCTATTTTCGTGATGTTAAGAATCTATTATGGAGAATTAAGATGGTCCTCTGTTAATTAGTACAATTTTAGGAGTCTTAAAGATACATTCTTAAATCTTATTGGGCAACTGTGCGTAGCACGCAAAGGAAACTAGAATTCTACGATAATCTCCAGCGGAGGCCTCTTTGTGCCGACTAGGCTTACTCCAACTCTGTAACATACCGATCTCTGCCTCAATATAGTGTGTGATCGAGTATGAGTAACGTGCATAAGTTCTACTGTTGAGTTTAGTGTTCTGAACAATTTTCTACTTCAATTTCAGTTGATGAGATGTGCTTTGTAAATTTGAGAATTATCTGTATGTACCAGATTGGAAGATCTCTCGTTCTTGGCAACTCACAATATGTGAGACTACAGTTTGCTTCCTGCACTTGACATGAAACACAACGTTCGAATTGAGATGAATATATCTAGTTTAAGATCACGCGATCATGGAAATGATTTGAAGTGTTACCAGCTGTGCCTCGAAAAGTTCCATCAAGTGTTACCAGCTTTCCAACAGTTCGTCGTGTGAAATTGACACTGTTAAGTTGAAGTGGAAAAATGAAATAGCCACTTTGAGCAGGTTTTTGAGTTACTAAAGGAAAAAGGCAAGTAAACTACTAAATAAAAACTCGTTTTTGTAATCTCCTTGCAAATGAATGGTTAGATACTTTTCCCACTGGAAGGCAAAAAAATACTTTTGCTTTTCCTTCTTTCATTAACCAAATGTCATAGTTATATCACCAGTAATTTGCTAAATCTAGAAAAATAAATGGCATATGCACCCGTAATCTTTAAATTCTCACTTACGGAGCAACAGAACTCAATTTCAAAATCTTAGAAATAGAAGTACAAATGTTGAATAGAGCATAAATGAATATCCGAGGACTCTTGTAGCTGTCAACTAATTTAGGATTGAGGCGCACTAGATGAATTCTGTTGACTTTTATGGTTTTGGTATAATGAAGCTGAATGATTGTTTAACCAGTTAAATTTTGAATTTCTTCTTATTATTTAACTCTTGCATGAAGATCAGTGTTTTCATAATTTGACTTTATATGTTCTTTGGATGTAAGAATGGCGTCTAAAATCTTAGAAATAGAAGTACAAATGTTTTCTCCCATGAAAGGAGAAGTTATACATATACATGCCTCCCGAACAGGTTTTAAGAAGGCAAGAAAATGCACACTAAACATATACATGAACAGAACAAAAAGAAAAGAAGCTATGCTTTAAGTAAATACCTTAAAGAAAAAAATCTGTCGCAGCAGATTGTTCTCATCGACGAATGAGATCATGAAAAAAATAAGAAATAAAAGAAAACTGAAAGTTCCGACAGTGCCTATGTTACATTCTCATGGAGGGTTTTGCTAGGTCCAACTAAAAAGTATAGAGATGAAGTACACTAAGCTCCAGATTTGGGGATTTTGAATTGCTTCTTGACAAACTGAGAGGCCTCTGACTCTCCTCGATGACACAGAATCCTAAGTAGGGTCTTGGTATCAGCACCTAACTTGCCTCTTCCGCCCTGCATTTCTAACTCACTTGCAGATCTCAAGTCTTCTATTATTTCCTTGGTCTGTGTACCATAAAAAACAAGCCTTGTACATCAACCATTTAACATATTGTCGTAGAGAAGGATCACAATAAAATGTGATATATAAAGACCAAATAAAATCATCTTAGACATGTACTAAATTAGTGCAAAATATGGCCTTAATAAACAGTCTTTGAGGAGCAAGTAGATTTTTCAACGTATACATACCATCGCTTTTTCTACAATTAATATTAGTGTTGCAGCATCTTTGACCAATCTTACATGAACAAATCTTTATATCCGTTAAGATAGTGCTATATTTACACGGGGCCAATGAAAAAAGTGCATATTGCTCAGATAATAATTTCATAATAGAGGCATGGAGAAGCAAGGAGGTACAAGCATTAGTAACCACAGGTACCAAAGTTTTTATGCAGCCAATTCTGCTTATCTTAGTACTTCATTGTGGTTGCTGAACTAACCTCATAACCATGCAGCTTTACCACCTGCCGAACACGTGCAACTTGATTTTCAACTACTCCACGAGGAAGCCCGTCCCCACCCGAAATGAAGAATTCCTTAAACAAATAACAAGTATAGGTGAGAAATAACCATATTGTAGGTCCACTAATTCAAGATATCAGGTAGACAAAATTTAGTTTGAATATCTTCAGGTAGATAAAAAAAATTCTCGAGCATATCCAACAAAAACCAGTTTGAATACCTTCAAGATCTCTAGATCCTCCTCCAATAGCTTAGCATCACCCAGGGAGAATACACGTGATGGTCCTCCATCTAATATGACTCTGAGTAGGCCATCCTGGTGAAATACGATTTCCAAAGAATTCAAAAATTACTGCAGTTAAAAACAGAAAAACCAAGCAGCAGTAAGTACACAGACCAGTGATGCTTGAAGCAGTCCAGTCACAACACGATCCCGGAGTGGCTCCATTATCACATCACACAGTTGATTAAGAACCTGCAAATGTTGGAAGACAGTTATACCATCTGAGCTTCTCTTTTTTCTGAGTATACATGAAAAGTGGGAGGTACATTCCAGCACAGCAAAATGGATTGATGCAAGTAAAAACCATATTATGTTTGTTTCACTTTTACAATTATCTAAATCAGGGATCCAGATGACAAAATCGTTGCTCAGAAGGTTGAATGCAGATACTGTCTCTCACATTTGAATATTAGTTACAAGTCTCGGTGTTACTATAGGTCATTTATGCCGTTGAAGGAAAAAAAATTCTCAACTCCAGTTTCTAATGGTTCAAAACCGGTGCTGCTTCATAAACGAAGTTCAGATCAGATTTATGAATCAGATTTCTATTGCAGCAATTATAGTTCAACCTTCCACATCCCAACATTTCATTACAAGAGAGTTTGAACAAACATTAAGACCAAAAATTACTAAGCTGTACTTTCTTTCCATTACAAGAGGGAGATAAGAAGGTGCAAAGAGAGCAGCAGAGCAAGGAGCAACGGAGATCAGTTCATCAGTGTTGGGATTTCATGGGATAGTTACTCTTTGCTGTTATTTCTTTTTCCCCTTTCTGGACTTCATCAAAATTTTATTCATTTCCCGTTTTCCACATATATACGATAAAACCTATGTATAGAATAGTCTCAAAAATAAGATGCAATACCATATCAAGTGGATCCATTACTGATTCCAATCTAGACTGAGAAACACTGGGTTTATAGAGATTCTCAATGAATGGTTCTCTTAAGTCCCAGAAAATGATTTTCGTTCCTGCAAAAATTGACAAAAATGAATTAGGAATTATTTGCAATGAACCCCAAAAATGTAGAAGACAAAGAAGAAGCCTCTCGCTAGCAAATCCAAACATCCTTGAAAGTTGTATTATTTGCAGAGAACCCAAAAAAGAAAAAACAGAACATAAAAACAAAAGTCTCACCAGTAAATTCACACATTCTGTCAATTGCGGCATTAATATCCTTTCTGCTTCCATCAAATGAGTCCTTCTTCTGTAAATTTCTTGCAGTCTCTTCAGCTGGGCTCTCTTTGTTTGGAAAAAATTGAAGTTAAGTTAATCCTTTTCCAAGAGAGGAAGGAGTGCCACTACTCAAGTGCCATTCATCATGATAAAGAATTATATCTAGATTCTATAGGCTAAAAGTCCCAGCTGATATCGATTATACAGCAGCTATGCTTAATGGTAAATAGATTTCAAGTCAATTATCTCCCTCGTCCCCTTTTTAATTACAAATAAGAAAAACAGGTTTGCAGTTCTTTGTTCATATTATTTGTCTTCCCCTATTTCTTTTGCAAAACGTTCCAAGCACACCAAGTCATAGGCTTTACCACACATAGTCAAAGCTTAAATGCTCAGTACATGAAATAAGAAACGTTCTGTAATTCTCGGCATTCCTAATTATGACATAATTTCCAAGAATACTCTACACAATATTCTTTTTAATTCTCTTGACTAAGTACTAACAAAAATCTTAGTGATTCACTTGAGTTTCAACACACCTCTTCAAACTCAAGGTGATGAAACAACTTAACATTGCTTATTAGTAAACAAGAGACACCAAAAAGAGTCACCGGAAGTAAACAATTACTTGAATAATCACCAGAAAGAAATTAGTCTTAGTATTTTTTTTCCCCGTAATATCACTGGCAATTGCACAGCAATTGCTTCTTGCAATGGCTTGAATTAGCTGCTGACGAGTACCAAAAGGTTGTTCAAACAATGATCACAAATTTCAATATTTTTCCATCTAACAAAAAATCAATATTTAGAGAATAGACTAAATACTCGATCTCTAATAACGCAAAGAAAAAGAAGAGAGAATACCTTGTGACTTCAAATTAAATGTTTAGAAGAGAGATCTACATACAATCTTTGATACAATAAAAAGAGATTTTTGTTTACCAGTAGCAGAAAATTCACTGTTTAGACTTTAGAGGAAGGAATCAAGATCCAAATTCTAATACCACAAAGAGATAAAAGAGAGGAACAAGTATTGGGAATTTTTGCTTGAAAGGTTGTCGGATGAATGGCCAGATGTGGAATGACCATCTATAAGAGGTGCATTACGGCCGTAAAAGTCGCCGGAGGTAAGAGTGGTGCCGCTAAAACAGTCAAAGGAAAGAAATAAGATAGTGAATTTGTGGAAAGATGGAAATATTTTAGTTGGGTAGATATTCATGAGTAGGGAAAACTTAAGTTGCTCGGACTTGGGTGCGGGCATCCGATACGGGCACGGATCCGAGTGTCGGATTCGGCAAAATCTAAATTTTAAGATTCAGGGGTGCGGATCCAGGTATGGATATGGGTGCAAGGATTCGGCTAAAAAATTCAAAATTATAAAAAATAGAGCTATAAGTCTGAACTCAGAACACGACCCCTTGAATTATTGATTTTTCTAGAACACAAAGCAGC